AATAAACATTTCTTTGATCCTTGGGAGATTTCTTTTTAAAAGGACAGAAGTCATGAAATGTCAACCTTTACGAACAGTGAGAACTTCTCAGAAGGAAGAAAACACTAAATGGGGCCGGAAAACAAAACTAAGCTGGGAGTCCACGAAGATCTGGCCAGACAGTTCCCTCCACGGGCCGGCTAAGTCCTTCCATAGATTCGGTGACTTCGTGGAAGATTTTCAAAATCGGGAAAACTGCCCCACAAGGCGGCTCTTCCTTCATCCACTGGAAATCCAACAGTTCTCCGATCAAACCCGACCTGTCACAGAGAGCTGCACCGCATTCCCACACCACGCGGCCCACCCCGGGCTCCACCCGCGTCCCCCTACCCCCAACCACCACCCCCGCCCTCCGCCACCATGGGGACCAGGCGCCCCCCCCACCCCCGCCTGGGGCATCACCCTGCGGGAGTTCCACTCCACACACAGTGAGGAGACCAGACTTAGGACCTGGGAGCACGGGGGCCTCTGGAGTGCTGTGCGGCCTCGGAGCGAGGCACAGACAAGACTCAGACCACAGCCAGACGCCCCGTGTCTGCAGCTGCTTCACTCTCCCCAGCAAATGGAAGTGTTTCGGAGCAGACGGAGCTCCCTTCTCCTGGGGTTTTTACAAATCTTTCTCACCTTTCGTGTTTTCAATCCGTCCAGGGAGACGGTTTGACTATTCATCGCTGACGCACAGGAGGGGTCAGTTCACAGAGGGGGTGGTTCCCAAACGCTGGGCGCCGGGCCTCTGGGGAAACTCGGAATATACTCCCTCCCGTGAGCAGCATGGTAAGTGACGAGGCTTCCCCAGCAGCCCAGCCCCACAGCGGCCTTCCCCGCTCAGAGCGTTGTCGACGCCCTGGACTCGCACAGTCAACGCTGGTAGGAAGCGATGTTGTCGCGGCCCTGACCACCGTGCCCACACACTGGACACACCCCCTTCCTCCTGAATCCATCTCATGAGCCGCCAGTTTAGAGAAAGAAGACAGAGGGGCAGGTGGGAACCTCGTAGGGAGAGACCCTGGCTTTCCAGAAGCCTGGAGCCTATCGCAGCAGTGGGCTCTTCTGTCTTTTCCAATTTCACGGGGACGCCTTTCCTCATTCCCTCCACACCAGCGTGATGCAAAGGAGCTGTGAGGAGGGCAGATTGGGGGCTCACCTGGGAAGGTAGCAAAGAATGGGGAGAAAAAGCAAAACAGGTGGACAGGGATTTCCCTGACGGGCGATGATATCGCGTGGTTGTGAGAGCTCTGCCTCCATCAGCATGGACTGATTCGCAAGGAAATCGAGGAGAAGGCAGGAGACCCAATATTAGTGCCCCGGGCCCTGGAGTCAGGGAGAGAGGCGAGTCCACTTTTGGTCAGACAGTTCCCTCGCTGACCATGAGGTGGTGCCATCAGCCCAGACAGCCACCCCAAGGGGGCAGGGCCTGCAGGAGGAGGCACGCTCCACGTGGAAGCCACGTTACCCACCCAGGCTCTAGAACTCACAGAAAACCCGGACTAAGCAGCACAGATCAACCTACACGTCATTGCTTCCCTCCCCACAAGTGTCGCATCCTCCACGGCCCCACCTGCTCACGCCTGAGCAAGAGCACCTTCTGTGCCGTCGAGCATCCCAACCCACATGGAGTCCAAATGAAGACCTCATTCCTCTCCGTATCCTTCCGACGTCAGCACGTTTCCTGACCCCAGAAGGGAACCTGAGCTAAGAGCACCCTGCCGTCTCCTTAAATGCCGTCATGAGGAGGACAAGGTCTTGCATGGTGAGCACAGGTCTGTCCCAAAGGCCCCGACAGCAGGGCCCCGACGCCCTTGCCCGCCTTGCCTTCCAGTTTAACACCAAACTCAACAACCCTATTCCAGACACAAGCCCCCCATCTCCCCTCCAGCACTGATCCCTGCTGGTCCTCCCTCCTGGGATGCTCTCTCTCTTTCCCTACCCCTCCTTGTGAGTATCCCCTTGCCTTCCCAAGTCCTGCCCAAGTCCCCTCTGCCCCAAGAACTACTCCTGAAGTGCCTAACTGATTTTAACTGGTGAATCGGAGTTAGCGAGCAACGCGTGGCTCCCACGCATCAGCCACAGAAGCCCTGGGGTGTCAGGAGGCTGGTTGGGTCTTACACTGAGGAGGGCTGATCCCGGCAGACTCCCTGCTGAATCTCAGGGCAACACCAGCTGGTCTGGCCCGGCTCCTCCCAAATCCTGATTCCCATCGAGGGCGGACACCAGAGCCGGAAGCGCCGTGTGTGGCACAGTGTCTGTTCTCAATTCGCGTTTGCTTTAGAATAACTACAATGTTACTGTTATTCCTGTCCCCTCTCCACTCCCACTCTCATCAGCCACTCTCTGCCAACCCTGGCCTGAGTTGCAGAGCTGAAAGAATGGGGAGGGGAGATCAGGACCAGTTCACCATTCTGGGGCTACCCTATCCCCCCACCCCACCCCCAGGCCTGGGGCCTAGACTGGTAATCCCAGCAAACGGCCTACTGAGTCTACAGCATGTTCTCTGCTCCCACAGGACTGACTGGGATGGGTATTCTCCTCTGCATGTCAGGCCCTGGCCAAGTGGCCTGGAGAGAAAACCTTAGGAACTAGCACCTATTCTTGCAACACCTCGAAGGCTAGCTGGCATTCATCTTTTACTTCTAAAGGGGCAGTTGGCTCAGGTGGGAGACACAATTGTCCCCTGGGAGGCTGGGCAAACTGCCTCGAGATGAATGTTTTCCTTCTGAGGGCAGCCCTAGGGCATCGTAGTGGCAAAGGCAGTACAGAGCGAAGGCCATGAGGAAGCAGGAGCCAGAGGCCTCCAGGTGCCCTAGCGCCTTCCATCAAGTAGACGCGAGTGCCTCCATCCAGCAAAGGTGGCCTGGCTCCCGCAGTCTGGACCTCTCCTATTGCTGTTGCTCAAAGAACCAGGTGACCAGATGCCTTTTTTAATGCCCACAGTGCTCAACAAAAGCAGGTTAGCAAAGCGACCCACCTGTGTTCATGTGTTGTACCCACCTGCCTCCACAGAAGATCTGAGGCTGCAAGAAGGCACTGCTATTGGAATCATGGGCATGAGTGGTCAGTTCAGCTCAGACTCGGACCTTCAAAGTGCCCATTCACTGGGGCTCGGAAAGTAGGGCAGGGGTGGTGGACAGTGGCTCCTGAGGCTGCAGCCCCGGGGAGAGCCCATTCAGAAGGGGCCTTCCCCACCCCCTCCTCTCCTTCCTCCTGATTCAGGGCCACTGGACTTGCTGGTCAGCTGCAGCCAGCGGGGGGCCACCCCTGCTCCTCCTCTCCCTCCCCCGCCTCTGCCTCGCCTATGCCAGAGCACAGCCGGGACCCTGGGCGGGGAGCTCTGGCAGCGGCACAGCGCCCGGAGGACGACCCGGCCTGCATCTCCGCACCCCCTCCCCCAACCTCATCACATGGCGGCCCCAAAGAGGCGCGCAGTGCGTCCTGCCTGCCGTGGAGACCCAGGGACAGGCGCCGTGGGCGGTGAGTGATGAAACCTCCCGGCGCATTACGGAAGAGGGCGCGGGCTGGGAGGCGGGCGGGTGAGGGGGGTGGGAGCTGGGACCCGGGCTCACCTGTTCTCCGGCAGGAGGGCGGGGACGGCGCCTCCCCCAGCCCTGCGCCCCCCAGAGCTGCGCCATCGGACTGCCGGGCCGGAGCAGTTCCTGTCCCCGGCCCGGCGCCGGGAGACGTGAGCGTGCACACGTACACACACGGTGGGGGCAGAGGCTCCGAGGCGCACAACTTCTCCCCGCTGCCGTGCGCCCCTGGAGAAGGCGGGGGGGGGGGGGGGGCGGGCGTGCTTGGGGAGAGAGCTCTAACAGGAAAAGAGAAGATGGGAGAATTTTCATGGGTTTCGTTGGGGGTGGAGATTTTTTTTTTTTTTAACCATTTCCATGAGATGGCCGGAGAGTCCAGAGAACCCGGAGCGGGATGGTGAGTAGCGCTTGGGGAAAATGGAAGTGTTTGGAGATGCGTAAAGTTGCCTTTCAAGCTCCGACCTCCAGGGCGAGCGATGCTCCTCCGCGGGGCTAACTCCGAGCCGCCTGGGCCTCCCTGCCGCCCACGTGGAAGCCATGCAAGTCCCGTCTGTCACCTGGGTCCCTGCAGCCGAGCCCGAGTGGGGAAAGGCGAGAAAGCGGCGCCCTCCGTGTGGCACGACCCACCACGCGGGCCAGGAAGAACGGGGAGAGCTGGGCGGTTGCTCGGGCCAAGTCCTACATCTAGTGCTTTTGCCCTTAAATAGTTTGAGGCAGGGGTGGGCAAAGTTTTTGACTGGAGGGCCACAATGGGTTCTTAAACTGGACCGGAGGGCCGGAACAAAAGCATGGATGGAGTGTTTGTGTGAACTAATATAAATTCAAAGCAAACATCATTACATAAAAGGGTACGGTCTTTTTTTGTTTTAGTTTTAGTCATTTCAAACGGGCCGTAGTTTGCCCACGACTGCGGCTTTGAGGGGTTTTTAACGCAAAGCGCCGCAACGCCAGGAGTTGCCATATGTGCTCAGTCTGCCCTCGGCATCCCCGTGTCCAGGAAACTCCTCCAGTCTGTCCGGCGCTGGGGGCTGGGTCTCCCGCTCACACGGCGGGAGAGGAAGCTTTGCGGGTCTGGTGCGGGTGTGCAGCCAGCGGGCCGGGGGACGCTGTCCCAGGGCAGACCCTCCCCTCTCGCCTCTATGTAGTTGCCACCGGAGCTGCGATTCGCTTTTGTCTTTGAGCCGGTGCGGCCATTGCCCCGGAGCCCCCGCACACGCGCACGCCTCTCGGGCCGCGCTCACACGCACGCACGCACACGCGTGTCGGCCAGCAGGTCCGCAACTTTGTGAGGCGCACCCCGCGGAGCTCGGCGCCTGGCTAGTAGTTGGGCGCAGGCCCCGCCCCCCGGCCGTGTTGTCAAACGGGCCGGGGTCCCGGATTGGTCCAGCGGCCGGGACAACACCTGCTCGACTCCTTCATTCAAGTGACACCAGAGCTTCCAGGGATATTTGAGGCACCATCCCTGCCGTCGCCGGGCACTCGCGGCGCTGCAGGCGGCCTGGTCACATGCTCTCCGGGAGCTCCGGGAGGGCGCCCGGTAACCTCTATCCAGCCTCGGCCGCGAGGAGGAGGGAGAAGGCGAGCGAGGAAAGTGGGAGGAGGAGGGGAAGCGGTGGAGGAGGAGGAAGGGGGGAGGGGAGCACAAAGATCCCAGGTCTCCGGGCGGGAGGTTTACCCGAGGACGATGTGTGCCGAGCGGCTGGGCCAGTTCGTGACCGTGGCTTTGGTGCTGGCCACCTTTGACCCGGCGCGGGGCACCGACGCGACCCACCCGCCCGAGGGGCCGCAGGACAGAGGCTCCCAGCAGAAAGGCCGCCTGTCCCTGCAGAACACAGGTAAGGACGTGCGCCCCCGTGGCGGGGGGCTGCTGGGGGACCCCACCTGGCACCCCCGCAGCGCTCCAACGCTGCTTCGCCCGGCACGGGGCGCCCACCAGGGCCGTGCCAAACTCCCGGGGCGGCGCGGGGCGGGCAAAGGGGAGCGTGAGGCGAGGCAGGTCCGCGCCCGGCTCCGCACGCCCGGAATCCGCACGTGCAGGCGGGTGATGAAATCGCCGGGGCAGGACTTGTTGCTGTCTGCCCTCCCCGGGCCGAGGGTAACCGAGGCAGCGCCTGGCGCGGCCGGTGCGGACCCGGGCTCCCCTGGCTGATGCAAAGCTTCCTGCTCCGCCCCGGCCGCCCCGCGGGAGGCACGGAGGGTCCCGAGCCGGGCTGCCCGCTGCACCGGGAGAACTTCTCTCCCATCTGGCCGGCCGGCGGCGGCAGGACGGCTTCCCCCCTCCTCAAAAGATGCCCGACATCCGAGAACTTTGTAGGCAAGACGTTGCTTGGCGAACTTTCCTTGGGGGCGGGGAGGGGGGGCGCGTTGCTTTCGGAACGGGGTGGGGGTAGTGCAAAGCCGACTTCTACGGCCACCGGCCCCGGTCTGGGGCAGGTCAGCAAGAAATGGTGACCCGGCCCCACGGTGCGCCGCCCCAGCTCAGCCGGCTCTGGGCTCCCGGCGAGCTGCCGAGCAGAGCCCGGCGTGCAGGGCACGGGGCTGGCCCTTTCCCAGCTCCCGGAGAGAAAGGAAATCTGCCCGCGTCTCCTCGGCCGCAGGCGGCTCCCCCTTCCTCAGGGACCTGCGAACCCGGCAGCGACGGGCGTGCGCTCACCGCACGAGCAGAAATGCACGCGTGCCCATCAGGAACTCCGGAGCTGGCGGCCCTCGGCCCTGCGCGCTCCTGCCTGGCGCGTGGGAGGGATCACCCGCCACGCACAGAGCCTCCCGGGACGCTCGCCCACCCTTCCCCCCTCGCCAGCTCTTTCCCAGAAAACTGAACGTAATCTCGGGAGTTGGTGACCCTCAACAAATACACGCCCCTCCTTCTCTCGGTAGCTTTACACTGAATGCGGATTATCTACTCCTACCCCTTCCTTCTTCCAAAATACACTTTTTGGATGCAATTTTGTGGTTAAAGACGTGCAATTCGGGGGGCGGGGGGACAGAAGCGTGGCGCGGCAGTTAACTCCCTCGGCCTGTCCTGTCAGAGGGAGGAATTAGGGCCACATTTTGCGAAGCAAACCGGGTCTCTGGGATTCTAGGGGATTAAGTGGCATCTCAACCGGATCTCTATTTAAAAGGAGTCTCTGGCCCCTGCTGCCCATCAACGATTCTCTCTCATCATTGATGTTCCCCTCCTTCCCCCTCCCTCTCTGAAATCAACAAACATATATAAAAAGTAAATAAATAAATGCAAGGAGGCTCTGGCTACTAGGTTGCGCTTCTGCAGGCCAGCCCCCATCTGACTGCCCCATGCTCAGCCTGCTCTGAAACCCACTTCCCGAGCCTGGTGTTCTTAAGGCCATGGTCAGAGGCGCTGCCTTCACAGGAGTTTTGTCGTGATTTTTTAGGTGTTGAATCATAAGGCTGAATTGAAAGTGCTCCCTGGACGCTCGCATTTGGGGGTCAGGAAGGAAATGACTGGGATTTAATAGCAGCAGCTTCAAGCTCCAAGTAGAGAAGGGCATTTCATTGATGGCCTACAGAGGGGCAAGCTAATCATTTAAAATCAGACTTTGTGGCTTTAGAAAGCTGAACAATCCAATGTTCTCAAGCTAAGAACTCCCACAAGCACCTTAATAAGATGGGGAGGAAGAAAAATGAGGTGCTCAGACCTAACTTCCGGTTGTGGTCTTTGTAATGTAAATGTGGCTAATTTTTTACAAATATTTACAACTACGGCTCTTTTTCATAAGTAGAATAAATGGTGACATTTTCTTTCCCTGGCATTTTAGATCCTGAGATATTCATTCTAACTTTCTTCCCCCTTAATTTTCTTTTTTTTTTCTTTTTTGTCGTTACTTTTATTTCAGCTAACCTGCATTCCGCAGCATGGCTGAGGATTTTGTATAGCTTTGTGCGTAACTCTCATTTCAGCGGAAATCCAGCACTGCCTGGTCAGCGCTGGCGATGTGGGCTGTGGCGTGTTTGAGTGTTTCGAGAACAACTCGTGTGAAATCCGGGGCCTGCATGGGATTTGCATGACTTTTCTGCACAACGCCGGAAAATTTGACGCCCAGGTAAACACCATAGACAGCCCGGGGAATGTCTGGGGTTGGTGTAGCATGAATGACATGGTGACTGGAAAGACTTGACAACAGATTTCCTGAGCTGCTCAGCCGTGGTGCGTTATATCACCTGCAAGCAGCATTCTAGGTAGAACGGCGGGGGGGGGGGGGGGGGGGGGGCAGTGTCCCCCACTCCTGCCCTGCACATCTGGAGCTGTCATCTAGGCCAATCCTTCCCACTCTTAACCTGTGTCTGCACAGGCAACGCGGAGTGGAGGCCACGTAGAACAATTACCCGAGGCGTCTTGGCCAAGAAGACAAAGGCCATGATAAGCCGCTGTAAGGGGCTCACTGTGTCAGGCCACCCAGGGCCTGCTCTGCAAGGCCCATCACGTTAGGAGCGCGAGGTTGAGGGGGGAAGGGCAGAGACGTCAATCATATATTCCACACGCTATTCTCCCCAACGGGCAAGGATAGGGAGACACAGCGCTGGGAGAAACCCACCCTCCCCCAGTGGGTGTGTGAGCAGGCAGCATGGAGAAGTCGGGGCCCCCAGACCCGCAGGCTTACCTTCCTTCTAAGCAGCCGCCCCTCCTCCCCAACCTGAAAAGTCAGAACCCCGAGTGAGGCTGGCAATGCTACAGGGTGTTTTGCTCTATATAATAAATATAGGCAGGGCCTGACCCACTTAGGTGGTGCCAGGCTCCCAAGGGCAAACCCAGTCGCGTGGGGCAGGAAAGGAACCCGCAAGCAACCCGAGGGCTCCAGGGCTGACCACCCGAATACATTTCAGATGGCGTGAGGCTCACCTTCTTCGTGTCCTCGCCGGCCCATAGACCAGGGGTGGGGAACGCCCGGCCCGCGGGCCGTATAAGGCCCGGGAAATCATTTGGTCTGGCCCTGCCAAGGCATTGGGGGTGAGTTAATTAAATGTTTGACCAAATACAGCCAGCTAGTTTTTAAGGTGACAATTTTGTATGGCCCGCGAATGATGTTGTAAATACCCAAATGGCCCTTGGCAGGAAAAAGGTTCCCCACCCTGCTCTAGACCCCCCGTGAAACCCTCTGTCGTTCTCTCTCCTAAACCTCCTCTCCCACTTCCCCGGCGGGTGATGACAGCGCTTGGAGGAGGCCAGCAGTTTCGGGGTGATTTATGAACATCGCCAGTCACCATCCACTGACATCCTGTGGAGAGCCTGAGAGAGCCATGCCTGGGAACCAGAAAGGGATGCGCCGGCTGGCAGCCCACCCCGCGGAGGATGTGGGGTGGCGGAGGGGAAACAGAAACCGCCGCAGCGCCGAGGCTGTGCCTCTGGGCTCCTTGAGGCTCCCGCTAACGCTAACGCGTCCCTGCCTCCCTGCCGGTTCACTGGGATTAGGAAACGCAGTGGGAAATCCGGAGGAATGACCAGGGCCATCCCAGGGGATGTCAGGGAGGAACACGGAGAGCAGATTGCTGCAGCCGTCGCATAAATTAACCTTCCCTTTGACTCTCCAACGGGAGTATGTTCTCAGGTTAGAAGCATCCCTTTCAAGGCCCTTCGTGATGCCTAACGACTTCATGAGCTGGCACGCCCTGCCCTCCGTCCTACTGGACTCCCCCTGAGAGTCAGGGGAGAGGGGGGCCGGCGGGGTGGTGTTCAGTGACTAGACACTATCCGTAGACATTTCGATGGCTTCTGAGGGAGAGAACCGGAATAAACGTGCTGGCTGGCTTCCCAATCCCAACCTAAACCCGGTTCCTTTCCCAACTCCGCTCCTTCCGGGCCTGTCTAAAAACAGGGTGACCTCTCCAAGGACAGCTCGTTTCTATAGTAATTGTGGGGTGGGTATCCCACAATGCCTCTCTGCCCCCGAGGTTGGTAAGGGAGCTCACTTGCAGCCCCGCTCGCCTCCACACCCCCAACAGCTGTCTCCTTTCTAGGATGAGAGCAACCTCCCGGGTTGCCAGGAAAGAGAAGTGCGGGCCAGATGTATGCCTGGCTGCCTGCGCCACGCCGAGGCCGGGCCGGGGGAGGGGCTGCCGCGGGGCCAGACGCTACCAGGCCCGGTGCCAGGCGGGCCTTTAGAGGCAGCCATCCTAACGGCTTAAAGGAGTCGAATCACTTTCAAAGAGGAAAAGAATGCTCCTCCTTCCAGGACGGGGAGAGGAGAGTGTGCGCTGGGGTGCTGGGAGGCACGGCAGCAGGACAGGCCCAGGCGGCAGCCCACCTCGATGTCACTCCTGGGCTCAGAGGACAGAGGGACGGCGGGAGGTTTGGACAAGCAGGCACCTTCTACTTGGGGACAACGCTGCTGGGAACCACCAAGGAGTTGGCGATTTCCGTCCCCTTGTGTCCCAGAAAAGTTGCCACAAAGCAGCCCGCCTGCTCTGTCTGCCTTGGGGACAGGTGGCCACGGCAGCCCCAGCATGAGGGACGCTAGTAGGAGGCAGCCTCTCTGGCCAAATGCAGGAGGTCCCGTCACTCCGGACACACCTCGGATGAAGCACCAGCCTGTCAGCTGCAGGGTGTCCGTCCGCAGCCGGTCCTGGGGGTTCAGGTGTCAGAAAGCTCTGGGTGAGCCCCAGAGGTCCCTGTCTGACTCCTGTCTCCCGCCCCCCTCCCCTCCTCTGTTCTCCACCCTCAGGGCAAGTCCTTCATCAAAGACGCCCTGCGCTGTAAGGCGCACGCCCTGCGGCACAGGTTCGGCTGCATCAGCCGGAAGTGCCCGGCCATCAGGGAGATGGTGCTGCAGCTGCAGCGGGAATGCTACCTCAAGCACGACCTGTGCGCGGCCGCCCGCGACAACACCCGCGTGATGGTGGAGATGATCCACTTCAAGGACCTGCTGCTGCGCGAGTGAGTGTCCCTGGGGTCTGGGCCGTGTGCAGGGCCGGCCTCTCCCACCGGATGGGGCGGGGGGCGGCGTTTACCTCTGAAAGCTGCCTGGTTCCCCTGGGACTGCCTTTCCTGTTGACCTTCAGGAAAAGCGCAAGAAATTGGCACCATCGGTCTCAGAATCATAAGCAATAGAAACAGGAAGCTCTCGTCCTAAGCACGAAATGGGTGGGATTCAGAAATGCCCTTCGTCTTCCCCTCGGCCAGGACCCACCGGGTCTCTGAGTATCCCCGGTAGCTCCGTGGGTGCCCCGGCAGCCCACGGGCAGCGAATACCACCTGCCCAGCTTTTACCGAGGGCCAGGCATGGGGCTCAGTGCTTTCCGTGAACTTCTCACTTGATCCTCACAGTAGCCCTGTTCTGGTACCACTCTCGTGCCCATTTCACAGATGAGAAAACTGAGATTCACGGAGGGAAAGGTCACAGGCAGTGAGAGGCAAAGCCAGGATTCGAGCCAGGCAGTCCGGCTCCAAACACTACACTCTTCCAGGCCACATGCCGAGAGCAGTAGCTTTTCTTTTCCTGCTTCCATCGCTCTCCTCGCCCTTAGAGAGTCCAGCTCCCCTTCTCTAAGCACATGAATGCCCTCCCAGGGAAAATGCAAAACAAATGTCAAAAACTCTAATCAGCCAAACACCTTTCTGCCAAAGCGAGGAAACACAGACTGACTTATTCAAAGGCTTGAAATTCAGTAATAAACCCCGGAAATCTCACTCCTGAAAAAACATGCCATGGCTAGGATCCGAACTCTTGCAGAGCGGTGAAGCCTGGGGCCACGGGGCTGTGCTAGCCTGAAGCGTGGCCCGTAGCCCCTGAGTGGCAGTGACGTGGCTCCTTCCTCCGGGAATGAGCCCAGAAAGCGAGCTCCTAGCTCAGCAGCCCAGGACCAGCCGGTGCCGCTGCTCTTTGCAGTGACTCGCTGGGCCGAGTCAGTAGCATGCCATGAACTCTTGCTCCTTAATTCGTGGCATGCCTTCCCCCAGCTATGTCTCTCAACAGGCTGCTCCCCACCCCACCCACAACACCCTCCTGTCACTTTCCGCTTGGTCACGAGGGTCTAGGTATCTTGCCACACCCGGGTGAGCGTTCGAATTGTGAGAGTCACCTTGGATCTCTCCACGGGCAGCGGCTGACAACAGCAAAACAATGATGCCTTCTCGCTGAGTTACACGAAGGCTCGATAAATGCTTTTTATTCTCCCAAACACCTGTGCAGAAGCCAAGCAGCAACGGCATCAACAGTAACAACTAGAATGATACAAAATCGGCTTTTGAGCGGGCCAGGCCCCGGGCCAGGGACTTTCCCTGGATCCTCTCAGCTATCTTTCCCAACATGACAGCTTACGGTCCCCATGTAGCCGCGGAGGAGGGAAGCCAAGAGTTTAAAGGCCTCCCTCTGAGATTTGATTCTACTTTCCAACTGGGGACTGGGTGAGATGCATGCCTGAAGCCAGCTGTCAGAACAGACCCCAGACCTCCTTGCTCTGGCCCGCTCTCCCCCCACTGGGCCTGTCAGAGGTGCACTGGTCCCCCTTGTGGCCTGGGTCTCCCCTTTTCTCAAATGCATCCCCGTGACCCCAGGAGAGCACTGTGTCGGCCCTTCCTTCTGGACACCCCGGGAGATGCTGGCACTGTGTGGCTGAGAAACTCGGGGAGTTCATTTGTCCTGAACCCGCGTCCCATAGAGACAGCATGTTGGCCCGAGAGCGGATGGCGGGGAGCTAGTCTGTAAGCCTGTCATATGTTCCCGGAGCCGAGGAGGCTGTCTTTTTGGAGAAAAGTCTTGTGGGGGGGTTTTGTGGTTTTGTTGTTGTTGTTTTAATATATATTTATTGATTTCAGAGAGGAAGGGAGAGGGAGAGAGAGAGAGAAACATCAATGATGAGAGAGAACCATGGATTGGCTGCCTCCTGCACGGCCCCCCCTCCCCCGCCACTGGGGATCGAGTCCGCAACCTGGGGGATGTGCCCTGACCAGGAATCGAACCGTGACCTCCTGGTTCACAGGTCGACACTCAACCACTGAGCCATACTGGCCGGGCAGAAAACGGCAGGTTTTAAAGCCCCCCCCCCCCCCCCCACACACACACACACACACCACCTTCACATTTAAGAAGCAGCAAAGCACTGAGCTTTCTGGAGTCCCCTCCAGGGAAGCATGGCCCATAGGGCCAGGGGACCCTTACTTCCGAAGGGCTCCTCACATCATTAAGAACAGCCTCGTAACCCCCCTCCCAGTCCGCTATGGAAATGCAGGCGGCACACCCTGAAAGGAAGCCTGGGCCTCCTGTAAGCCAGCTCCCCACTGACCCCCCCTGCCTCCCCTCCCGCAGCCCATTCACGTGAACGAGCTTCTCGGGTTTTCTAACCATCTTAACTGACCGGGGCGCAGAGGAGCCCAGTCCCCCCAAAGCAGGAAGAATGTGTGGCATTGGCCACAAGAGAAAGGAGAGCTGAATTTGCTTTCCACTTTACAGGGGGCGAAATCACAGTCACCCCCAGTATCTTCATCACCCCCATTCTTCCACCCCATCCCTATCACCCCCAAACACTGTCATGTTAAGCTGAAGTGGTCCTCTCACCCCTTCTCACCTCACTTTCTCCATAGCAACCGCCTCAGCCACCACTCACCCTATCGCTGGGTGCTGGCGGCCTCCAGGCCCATCCCCTACGCTCGTCTCCTGCTGAGTATTTTTAACCCTCCTTCAGCCTCACTGACACCCAGATCAGAGAGCTGGGCTTTGTCATGAGACACGGCCGAGCTTGCAGCCTGAGGAGGCACCACGCCAGCTCACCAGCTCCGAGCACAGCTTAGATTAGCACACGCCCCCGCCCCCCACCGTTCACAGCTCAGGGCGGGCAGGAGCACGCGGGCTGGTCCAGCCTTCACCGGTAGGTTCAGCCTTCGCTGGTCGGTCCGGCCTTCGAGGTCCACCTTGGGTTCTGAGAGCATCTGGCAGGCCGATCATCCCGGCGAAGGAGGCCAAGAGGCAGTGTGTCCATCCCAGGAGAGCCCTCCCCTTACTCCGGGGAAAGCAGCTGGAAGAAGAACGTTGGTGTAGTGTCCCCAAGGCCGGACACTCTCAGCCCTGCCGTTTGCTCCTGGAGCCCCAGCGAAGTGGCAGGGACGCTCAGGGCGGCCGCAGGAGACGCACGCGGTGAACTTGAGCTCCCTGAGGCAGTCAGGAGCTAGTTTTCAAGAGACGGAAGGAAACGAGCGCGAATTGACCATTTTCCCTGTGTTGCCCTGCACCTCCCTTGCTCAGCCCACGAAGACCAGTGTCATCACTGTCCTCGTCACCGTCACCATCGGGCCTGCCTGGGAGAGCTCAAGCCCTCGCCCATCAGCCAGGCATAAAGGAGGCCTTACAGGCAGCCTGGTCCATCCGCCAGAACATCCCCCCTCCACTCACAGCCCAGCCCCAGGCTTCCCAGGCCCAGAAGCTTCCAAAAGCCCCCTTCTCCCCACCTCGAACCCATGTTTCCATCTATGAGATGAGGACCGTTCACTCAGTTACAACTTGAGGACTAACTCATAAAAGTGGCAATAAACTGCTTCCCAAGCCTTAGCCCAGTCTGCCCAGCCACCACTGCCAACTCACAGAGAAAAGAGTGGCTGCCATACCGCCATCCGGGTGGGCCAGGCTCACAGGGAAAAAGTCTTGGTCCTGCGAAGCGACCTCACAGTCCAGAGCGCTTTCCCTGCCCGAGGGACGGCCCTGAGCTGCGATGCTCATGGGCAGAGAGATCCAGAAACTGCTGGCCGAGGGCTGGCTCTCTTCAGAATGCTGGTGAGCCACAGGCAACACTCCATACCCCCCTTGGGGATGGTACGAGGCCAGTGGGATGTAAGAAAGGCTTAATATGACTACTGGGCCAGGAGAGGCTGTCACCGGGGACACCTCTTCCCGGCTGGGCCCATAAATATAAAAAGCAGGCACAGCGCTCCCACCTTCTGCACGCAGCTCCGGCCCAGGAGGAAGGCTTGCCTGAGGTGGTCATTCCTCCTGCCCCTTCCCCCAAGAAAGACCCGTGGCTGCTGGAATGGCCGGCTCTCCCTCCTGAGCCGAGCCTGTTTCTTTCGCAGACGGCTGGCTTCCATCCCAAACCCACCGGCCCCTCGAGGCCAGCCCTCACTCCAATTCTGGGAAAGCCCAGGTGGGAAGACGCTCAGGTGGCCAGCCCCGATCCTCAGCCCCTCCTCCCGGCACCGGGCAGCACTCCGGGGACGCGACCTCCCGGGAAGTGGCCTTCCCCCGCCCTCCCCCGGGGTCCAGACTCACCAGGTGCACGGGGGAGTGCATCCAGGAACTTCCCAGATCCCCCTTCTTCACCAGGAGCCCAAACCGGGGGCCAACACAGACATGGGGGAATGTGTCTTGGGAGCTGGGCTTAGGGAAGGCTTGTCTGAAAGAGCGACACCCAGAGCAAGGCCAGCTGGCCCTGCCGATGCCACATGCCAGGGGCCAGTTTGCGGCTCCGCCAGTCCCAAACCTGCAATAGCTCCTTTCCTACCAAAATCACTCCCCTTTTCTTTTTTGTTTTGTTAATCCTCACCAGAGGAATTTTTCCATTGATTTTTAGAGGGAGTGGAAGAGAAAGGGAAAGACAAGAAATATTGATGTGAGAGAGAGAGAGACATCAATTGGTTGCCCCCTACACAGGCTGGGATCAGGGCCTGGCTGGGGAGGGCCTACAACCCAGGTACATGCTCTTGATGGGAATTGAACCCGGGACCCTTCAGTCCGCAGGGCGGCGCTCTATCCACTGGACCAAACGCGCTAGCGCCCCAGCTTGCTATTTAAGGCCCTTTACCACTTGCCTAACTGTAACTCCTCTGGCCTCCCCCACCCCAGACCCATGGCCCCGCCCACCAGAGCCTCCCACTTCACAAACTCCCAACACACCCCGCGGTGCCCGCCCTCCCACCCGCCCGTCCCTGTGCGCACAGCTGCCACCTGCATCCTCGCCCGCCTTCCCCAGAGGCGCCTCCACCGTGCGCACCTGTGCACCGCGGTGGCTTCTGTCTCAGCCTCCCGCTCCCTCCGATGCCTAGCCACCCAGGAAAGGGTTGCGACCAGTACTCCATGGAATATGGGCAGAGGCAGGAGGTAATGCCAGAAAGCTCTTCCACCAAACCAAACCCAAGCCAAGCCGCGGGGTTCCCACCTGTCTCCCCGGCCGCGGTGGCGGCTCCGGAGGCCGCGGGGCTGGTCGCATCCCGTCTCTCTGCTCTGCTCTTAGGCCCTACGTGGACCTGGTGAACCTGCTGCTGACCTGCGGGGAGGAGGTGAAGGAGGCCGTCACGCACAGCGTGCAGGCGCAGTGCGAGCAGAACTGGGGCAGCCTATGCTCCATCCTCAGCTTCTGCACCTCGGCCCTGCAGAGGCCGCCCACGGCGCCCCCCGAGCGCCACCTGCAGGCGGACCGGGCCAAGCCCTCCCGCGCCCACCACGCGGACGCGGGCGCCCGCCTCTCGGAGCCCAGCAGCAGGGAGACCGGCCGAGGTGCCAAGGGCGAGCGGGGCAGCAAGAGCCCCCCGAACGCCCACGCCCGGGGCCGAGCGGCCGCCCACGGGGCCCAGGGAACTTCTGGGAGCAGCGAGTGGGAGGACGAGCAGGCCGAGTATTCTGACATCCGGAGGTGAAACCAGAGGCCTGGCCGGGAGACCGTTCCTCCACGCCGTCCATTTTCTTCTCTGTGGACATTCCAGAACATTTGCCATTACAGAGGGGGATGCCCCGCGCAGGATCTGGAGGGGACTGCGGACTGGCTGCAGGTGTGTGTTGGCGGCATGAACAGGTGCGGTGGAGACTCCCCAGGCGGCGGCGAGGTCCGGCGGGGCCCACACTTGCGCCCTGAGAAGCGAGCGCGCCACGTGCGCTCCCCGTGGCTCTGTCTTCTCTCCATCCGTGGAGCACTGGGTGCGACCTGCGGCTTCCTGACCTGCGGCTTCCTCTGCCGGGGGCGGCGGTGGGCACCCCCACACACACCCCACCCCCTGGGGCTGGACCAGGCGCTTGGGAGCAGCGGATTCCAGTGCAGGAATGGACCTGAAGATCTCGCAGGGGCTGAGCAGGGTGGAGAGGAGGCAGGGGCCGTGTGGGTGCCGGTGCCAAATGGAAGTGGAGTTTCTTGCATGGGACCTGGGGGTCTGGAGCTGCTTTCCGGGGGGAAGGCGGGAGGGCGAGGGTTCTCAGTGTACCTTCTGAGCCATTGTTCTGACTGGGGCACCCTGTCAGAGGGCGGGGCCCCTGTGTGTGTGTATTTTAACCACTGCTTCGAGTCTCGATGTCACTTTTTATTTATCTAGTTACATCTACATATCTGTCATCTAAATAAATGGCTTTCACACCAAGCAACTGGGTCATTAAAACCAGCTCAGAGGAAAAACAGACAAGACGCGCAGCCCATCTTTGGGGCTGGTTGGTGTGTGTTTTTTTTAACTCCAGAGCCACGTCACTGTACATCTTAATGCCTGGTGGGGCTCGTAACCACTCAGGCGACCCCCACACACGGAGAAGACACCCTCAGCATCTCGGCATCTCCCCGGGACCCCCGCCAGCCTGGATGCCGGGAGGCCACGCTGCGAAGCTGGCCCCTCCACGCTGGAGGATGGACGAGGGGGGAGAGAAGCGAGGCCGCTCGCTAATTCCCATCGGGGAACGCCGGCCTTTCACACACACGGAGGGGCGGCCAGGCATTTGGAGGGCCAGGGCTCTCCACATCTGGACTGGCCGCGCTGCAGAGAGGAAAGGAGGCAGCGTGAACCGAAGACAGGCGGGAGGAGGGACAGAACCGAAACTCCCCGGAGGAATGGATCGGAACCATTTCTTGCAGTTGCTTCCAGTGTTTCAGACGGAGCCCTTTTCTTTCCTCCGCGGACGGGAGAGCGTGAAAGGTTGTCCCTTCAGCAGCCAGCCCTCCACCAGGCGCCCCGCTGGCAGGCAGGGGGCAGGGTTCTGGGCCAGTCCTTCTAGAGCAGGTCACAGGCCTTTTCTGTACCGATCCCGAGAGGCAATACCCTGACCTCAGCTTGGCGGGGCTGCGGGTTTCTGTCGCCGCCTCTCGGCTCTGCCACGTGGCACGAAAGCACACATACCCGGGCGACGCATCGCAGGCCGGGCTCCGCGCCAACACCAGGCAACAGGCGCCCGACTGGATCCGGCTCGTGGGCCTGGGTTGGCGGACCCCTGTTCCAGTGAACGGGCAAAAAAACATGCATCTCCCGTTTCTGTCAGCTCCCAGCTCGCCCTGCAAGCAGCTAAGGCCAGAGATAAGCAAACGAAATGGACCCACTCCAAAATGCCTGGCTGGAGGGAACGCCCTGGCCCAGAGCACAGCTCGCATTTTTTACCCGGACCATTGCTGCTGGGACTCGGTGCCAGAGGGTCAACCCCCGCCCCCAATCTTTTATGACCCGTGTTGGGTGTTTGTTGGGGGGAGGGGGGCGAATTGCTGGAGAAGCACCGAGAAAGAGCTGGAGCTGCAGAAAGCAGAGGCGATGGTGCACTTAATCCGGCTCTGCCCGCGGGCGGGGGGAGGACCGGTGTGTCAGGCTCTGCCATGGGAACCGAGCGTAAACCGTGGCCGGCTCATGCCGCGGGCCCGGCAGCAGGCTGACTGTGCTCCTGACGTCACCGGGAGCTGGGGCAGCGCCTTCTCCCTCGCTGCTGGGGCAGCTGTTCATGTGTTCGCCGGCGGCTGGGCTGGACGTGCGGAGGCGTCGCTTGGCGCTTTCCCTCGGTGTCGACCTGTCACGTGCGGCTTCTATGGTGAACGTCTGTCGTGTGTACGTGTGGGCCCGAAGGTGTGACAGCGCTCACTGTGTTCCTCTCGACGCCTGCACTGATCTCTGCTGCCTGTTCTCCCTGCCGCTGGTGTCTCCCCGCTCCCCGGCCGGGCGGCCAGCCTCACTCCGGCTCTCGGGCTTGGAGGCCGCTGATAGTCTCTGTGGCGAAGGTTCCTCTGCTCAAAACCGACGGAAGTCCGAATTCCCGTGAGCGCAAAACCGACGGAAGTCCGAATTCCCGTGAGCGCCGGCAAACCGTCAGCAAAGCCGTCATTAAAAATAGAGCCGGCGCCGGGGCCCAGGCTCCGGACGTCCGACGAACCTTCTCCGAGCCCCCTCGGAGGAAGGATGTGATTTCCAAATAAAGACGCGAGTTTATTTTGAGCGCGGCACCCTGACGGGATGAGCTGAACACCTCTCCTTGGTATCGACCAAGAGCCCTGTTCTGAAAGCAGATGGACGACCGAGTCGCCGGGAGGACTGGCACCCGGTGCTAAAGAAATAGCCCCCGGCCCGGCCCGGCCCGGCAGCCGACCTCCCGGCACAGAGACCTGGGAAGGCCACCACGGGAGGCTCCGCCGGCACAACCGGGCAAATGGTGCTCCCGGCCCGTCTCCCGAGGAAGAGCCGCAGAACCGGCACCAAGGCCCCGCTACGTCCCCGTGTCTGTGTCGGGTCTGGATTCGGGCAGCAGGGCCCGGACACGGTCACAGGGCATGACTTCCTCGGAGCAGCAATAAAGGGTTCAAATAAATGGCTTCCACTCGTGCAGTGTCATTGTCTGCGAGGGCCTTGGGCGGCCCGTGCGAAGGGGAGGGCTGCGAACAAGTGGGCCTTGGAGTCCCTTGAAAATGCCGGACACTCGGTTTATTGGGAGGGAAGCCAGGTGAAGGAGACCCCCTCCTTCCGTGAGAGGGACCCTGTCCAAAACCCCACCTGGGTCACCCAGACCCAGAGGAGACCGAGTGTCATGCAGCCGGCCCGTGGCCAGTAGGAGGTCCCCATGCTCTCTCTGGTCTCACCTTTGCGTCTCCTCGGGGGCCTGGCCACCTGTTCTTTCAGACTGAGTCTGCGCAGAGGCCACTGGCCGGGGCAGGGAAGCTCGCCGCCTCCGCCCCCCCCCCACACACACACACACTTCCTGGCCTATTTAGACTGGCTCGCCGACTCCGCGCAAAGCCTTTTGCATACATGATCTCATCCTATGTCCCGCAGGCCGCAGGCATCATCCCCTTTTACAGATGAAGAAACCGAGGTATAGGAAGGTAGAGGGACTTGTCCCCAAACCGTGTGCCTAGCGGGGTCTGAACTCAAACCCAGATCGGCGACTCTAAGCCCACATACTTCTCACCACAGGCCTAGATTCGCTGTACTCGGTTTATTTTTAATTTAAACAATCCGTATTGCTCCTATTTTACACGAGGCCTCGAGAAAGAATAATTATACTCTCTTATTTATAGCACCGGCCTCTGAGGAGTTCTGCCTCAGGACAGAGAGGAAAACGGAGGCTCGCCGTCCTCTGCAAAGACGCAGACAAGGGAGAGCGAGGGAAGCGAGCGTCCCCCCACTTTCCATGCGCACGGGCCACCTTTCCCAGGCCCTGCTCTGTGCCGGGAGGGAAGCATGGGGAGCCGCTGGCTCTGTGGCCCGCAGCGCGGCTCTCTGCTCCGAGCCCACCGGTGGCCAGGCCCGTCCTAGAAGCCAGCTCCCCTGACGTCACCCCGTCACCATCCGCACCATGACAGGGCCATCGCGTGCCCCAGGTGCTGCTGGGCTTTGCAGATCTTACGTCTGGGCCCCACTTCACACGCAGAAACCGACGCCCCAGGGCATGTTAACACGCCCGGGATGGGCGCACTCTGCCCATCTTCCTCAGCACCTGGCACCCCGGCCTGAGACAAGGGTGAAGCACACCGCGTTCAAAACCGCAGCTGCCTCCCCCCCAGCCCTGCCCCCGCTCCGTCCACCGGGAAGGGGCAGGCGTGGGGCTGGGGGGTACAGAGGGCTTCCGACAGGCCGGCATCTAAGCAAGTTTCCGAAGGAAGCTGGAGCCACGCACCCCAAAGTCTGGAGACAGAAAGCTGAATTTGTTCTGAAGTCAACCAGAAAGAAAGCCCCTGCTGGGGGGGGGGGGGCGGGGGCGGTGGTGTGCCTTGGCCCGAGAACGGGTTTTGTGTGAAATTACTTCTCGTGGGCGGAGAGGAGCAGCACCAGCCTTGGGCGGGGGTCCCGCGATGCTGCTTGCACAAGCGCTGGGTTTTCCTCACTCACAGAAAGTCCTCCCTAAAGAGAATGGGGCCGGGGGGCGGGGGAGGGGGGTGCGGCGGGGGGAGGGAGGGTGCGGCGGGGTATGTCCTGGAATCGGTGAGTGGGCGTCAACATTAAAAATCACCGGGAAGGCTGCCGTTTTGGAGTCAGGAGGTATAGACCAACCCAGACGCTTATCTTGCGCCTCTCTCTCTCTCTCTCTCTCTCTCTCTCTCTCTCTCTCTCTCTCTCTCTCTCTCCTTTAAATAATGACTGAAAAAGATAAATCAGGGCTGGCCCTGAGACCTTGGCAAATTAGTTAAGTTTTCCAAACTGGTTCCTCAGCTATAGAATCAAGACGCGCACAGCTAGCCCGCTCCCCCCCCCCCCCGGCCCCCACCCCCAGGGCACGGAGGATCAAATGACTGGGGCCAGGAGAGTGACACAATGTGTAGGAAGTCTCTGAGGCCCACACGCCACCTACACTGCGGGCATCCTTCCTCCTGGCCGTTCTGCACGGCCTCCCCCTTGTGCCAAGCGCACGGGGACCAGCTGCGCATCCTTTCCCAGGCCCGTGGGAGGTCCGACAGCCAGGGCGGAGGGCCAGAGGGGACCCTCGCGAGCTGGGAGGGGCCCCTGTGCAGCTCCCCGATGCCCTGGCTCTTGCCAGGCGTGAGTTCCAACAGGAGCTCCGGTGGCCAGCGGCCGGGCAGCGATGGGGAGGGGGAGCCGGGCCCTTCTCCAGGCTCCGCACACCTCAGGGCGAGGCGCCCAAGAGCAGCCGGTCCACAGCCTCCTTCGTGAGGAAGGGGCACAGGCCGAGGAGCCGGGCAGGAGGGGACGCGGCCAGAGCCACTCGCTGCCAGCGCCTCGGAGCCTGACATTTGGAAAGAGCTGGCCTGGGGGAGCCAAGCGCCGGGACAGGGCTCCTTCCGGCTCCGGCTCCGGCTCCGGGAGTGTCCAGAGGGGAGCCGGAGGAGGAGGAGAATGACTCAGCTAAAAGGAAGAGAAATGTATTTTTAAAGAGCGCCAGGATGGAAGGCACAGAGGCACGAAGTCTGGCCCCAGGATGGGGTCCAAATGCCTTCTCAGCGGAAGTGGGGCGAGTTTGCAAACAGCCCGAGCGCTCGCTGGGGTTCCCAGACCAAGAATAACACATGGAAACCAAGGGCCCCTTCTGGGCCTGCCAGGCTGCGGGGCGGGCCGGGGCTGGGGCAGGGCTCCGTTAGGCTCTGCAGACGGAGTGTGCGCTGACGCTGGAGGTGGGTAGAAACCCCTCCCAGACGGGCTCACATTCGCCCAGCAGGGCCGGGCTGGGA